AACCCTGGTCCTTGTATGCCACTCCCCAGTATTCTCGAACAAATACATCTCGAGGAATGACATCGTGTCTGTATGGTTGTCAGATCATCCTTACAAGGGATAAAAGAGAAGAATTACATGCTACCAGTGTTGGCATAATCTAGACAAACGGGATCAGCACCGGGGAGAAGGATTTGGAGATTGGCTTACAGGCGTCCACCAGGGTTTGTGCAATTGAAGGTGGAGGTAAACAGCTTAGCAATCTTTGGAGCAATGCTCGTTTATCGTCAAAGGATCCGAGTGCTATGTGAAGTAGCTCTGTGGGAAATGACGAGATGTGATCCGGACTGGCTTTATGTAGGGGTGCGCTGTGCGGGTTCTCTTGCAAGGTTAAGTAAAGCTAGCCGATTGAATCTAAATGTGGCTGATTCACCTCTGTTTCGCTAAGATACCATAGGGAGTAAAAGCTAGGTGTAAAGCGAGTTGTACGAATGTCTCCGTCGATGGAGAGCATGGAAAACTTGTCGGATATAGTATCTGATTCCTCCCATTTACTAGTTTGAACTTCCTCTTGAACGTCGCTCGAGAAAGTTGTGATATCGACGCGTTCCTCCTCCCTTAGTAATGGGTGGACGTCGTTCGAGATTTGGGCGTGCGCCGTTTCTAGGGCAGCCTCGAGCTTCCTTACCCTCGTACTAAGTTCTTGAATACGAGTATGGAGTTCCGTAGTGCCTGCGAGAACAAACCTGGAGAGAAGTAAGGGTGGCGAATCCTCGACGTGGGTGCTTAGGCATATCACACTGGGACATGGAACATCAACTGACCTTCCGCTGCCGTATGTCAATTGACCCTCGGGACATATGCTCGAAACACCCCGCTTCTTGCAGTTACCGCATGGTATCTCTCTATCGCAGCGTATCTTGAGCTATGGAAACACCTTAGTAAGATTTTGCAAAACACGTTGGAATCAGCAAAGACGTGCCCGACGACATTCGGAACAAGGTCTCCTGTTTGTTTTTGTGTCCTGCGTTGCTGGCGGCATATCTCTATGTAGTGGATCGGAGCAAACAAGACATTCGTCGACATCCTCGTGCAGTGAATTGATTCTCAGACGTAATCAGCAAACCTTTGAACAAAGATGCAAAATCGGGCACACACGAGATAAAAAAATTGGATTCAAAGAACTCGACTATGAGTTTGATGGCTAGACAAGAGAAGTATGGAAGGGAAATTGCTTGTATATTGCACCGTAATAACTGTCTTGAAGTGTACATGGTATCTGTGACCAACATATAGAAAATAAAATATTCAAAATTTATATAGAGTGATTTCTGGTTGTTGGAGGAAAGGCAACCTTGGAAAACACTAGAGACGACATCAGGAAAAAAGCCACCTGAGGGGGACAAAGATAAGAATCAGCGTTCAAATCTCATCAGAACGAATGGATAAGGGATCAGAAAAGCAGGGGTTGAGCCCCTGAAGGTAGCTGAGATGGTTTTCTGCATTGCAGTGTCCCGCTGTGGCCAAATGCCTCAAACATCCTACGAGAGAGAAGAAGACTAGAAGTAGGGTAATTACCTAGGATATTGGTGGATCCAGTACGAGATGGTCTGAGGTGGTCAGTGACCAGCGTGCACAAGCTTTGGGCTGAATGGTCGAAACTAACTTTTGTTTACACTCCTCCCGTTCTTCGAACACTGTGACCACAAGTTGTTGCCTGATACGCTAAGCGATGGCCTTCTATCTACGAACAGCCATATGGGAATCGAGCGTCCCATATGGCCACCCGCGCTCCTCCGTAGTGTGCCTTCGCAGTCTTCGCTCGCCTTTTAGGGCCATTCATGCATCGGTGCTGCTACTCTCTGGAGCCGTCCATTGCCCCCTCTGCGCCTGATAGCGTCCTGGATCAACACTCGTAACCCCCAGTACCATGGCTGAGGCTCCGAGCCAGAGCGTAGACACGCGCTCGACGACGGTTGAGGCGTCGTCGAACTCCTCGCTCACCTCCTCGACTAGCGTTCTCGAGAACTCAACGTTCGCTGCTAGTGGCGAGAATGCACCCCGGCTCTCTCCTACGACTACTCCCTCAGACTCCGAAAGCAAGTCTACGGATAGCATATCACTTTCAAGCTCTTATGCTGCTGATATCAAAACAGTAACAACGACGATGGTCCTGATGTTTACCAGCGATGTGGATACTGTCTTTCCGACCTCGCCCTCTGAGAGTATCCGGTTCGAAGCAATCACAATAGTAACAGATCTTTCGTCAGCTGACGGAGAATCCATCACAGTTTCCGGGTCTGATGAGGGGACTGCCGGACCGCCTGCAGAAGAAGACGATACGTTATTGTTGGCAATATCGACATCTACCGTCTCGCAAGATATTTCCCGACTTCAACCGGTCCCGCCACCCCAATCCTCTAGCTCGCATTCGGAAAGCCTGTCCAATGACAACACATTCGAAGTCGGTAGCGCCCCTCCTTCTAGCGCTGCGAAACCAACTTCTCTCGACCGAGAGACTTCCACCGCTCAGTATGTTCCCTAATCTCTGGAAAGGCCGGATCTGATACATAGTAGTTCCACCACGACCGGTATCCCACCACTGTTTACAGAACCTCGAACCTTTACTTCGGACGGTACAGTCTTTCAGATATCTTCCTTCCTCTCAGTGAGTAGAATGGCAGTTATACGGCAGTACGAGCTGAACCTGTATTATCTCAGGTGTACGAGACCACCCTGGGAGATGGTACCTATGTGACAGAATCTGCACTCTATGAGACCAGGGTCCCTATCCCCACTGCGCAAAGCAATGGCCAGGATAACATTGCGAGTGACGGCCGTGAGCGCCCAACATTACCCGGTATATACGAACCTGTCACAAACCCTCCTGTTGGGTGAGTACCTACAAGCCATATGATGCCAACCAAGCGCTAATACAGGTAACTTGTCAGATTTTTTAAGAAACCGGCAGCCGCTGCTGGCGTTTTCATCGCAATTATGCTCGTGCTTGGGTCGCTTGTGTGGATGTTCTTCATTATCCGTCGTCACCGTCAAGCTGTGGCCGCCGCCGCAAATCAAAAGCGACCAATCTTTGCATATGGCTCGACTGGTATATCCCACCGGGATAGAC